TCACGAGACAGCTTTTGGTGTCACGTCACGTCTTGCAACACCCTAATTGCCACAGTAAAAGATGGCAATACAGTGGCTAACAAAATGATATGTAAACATATATAACAATACATACCTGTATATACCCCTGTACTACTATCTATCTTTATACTGGTTCCCTAATAAAAAGAAATCCAACTAAAGTTGCAGTTATACTGGCAATGAAAGACAGATCTTGCTCTTAATCTTTTTCATATATATTATATAATAACTAAATTTATTGTCAATCTGCAAAAAAGTAAATATGATACAGAAGAAAAGTAATTCAAATTAAGCAATAAATCAAATCTATATATTTTTCCATATCCTATATCCAAAACTGAAAATAATATACTAAATCTATTTGTTCAGTTTCCTCCAGAGTATCACTTGGTACAGCACCAGGTAAATGCCTACAAGACATTTATAATTTCAAGTGGAATTAGACAGAACAAACCAATATTGGTGTGGGAAAAGTTCCAATCTTAAAGTCATTGCAAAGTCTTCTAAACATTTACCAAGCACTTTTTAAAAGTGAATGTTAAGAACAATACTGCCTCCATGGACAATACATGCTGTCAATCTAGATCACTTAACAAGGGGCGTGGCTATTATATTTCTTAATTGCTTAAGCAAAACAGTAGTATATTAAAAATTGAGATGATCTGCAAGGAAACTTCACAAAATTTTATAACTACAAGATCAAAATTCATCCCACATTACCTCTAACACACCTGTGACTACTTCTGAGGCGGCAGTAATCACAGGTGTACCTTTCCTACATAGGCCCATTTTCTCATGGCCAATTGTCCACCTTGCACAGCACTGCCTAATTTGATGTGCAATCTTTCACTTGTCTTGAAACTGACTAATCTTCTGCAGAAATATCTTGCTGATTTAAAGAGATCGTGATCATATAATAACCAGAATAATCACACTAAATAGGGGACCTTATCTTCCTATATAACTTTTATCATCTATATACAATAACGGGTACTAATAAAAACTGTAGTACTGCAATTTATAAAATATCCAACAGCTTTCCAAGCCACACCCTTCCAGCAATAATAACATCATATCAAAAATATCTCACCTGTCCTTGAAATGTCTCGCGTATAAGAACTCATCACCATCTTTTTCTTTCCTCTTGCTTTGGTTAAGGAAGTGTAGCCTTTGACGAAGACATAAACATGTAAATTTCTCAC